AGCAGACAGATCCATGTGTATATGTGTACAGGGCAGCGTGTACCCCAGCTCCTCCAGCACAGCCACAGCCCACTGTGTTTCCAGCATGGGACCCACACCCAATGGCTGCAATGAGACAGTGACCGAAGCTTGTTCAGGAACTGAGCAAGGACCCCACACCCCACAAGCTGCTCAAGACCAGAACACAACACAGGCACCCTGGATCTCACCGGATGAGCACAGCACAGATGCTTGGCTGCACACAAGAGCTTGCTCTGCTCACCCAAGCATCCCCAAAACCCAGACCCACGCTGCCTCCTCTGCCCTGAGCCAGCCTGCCCGGGGCCTTGCAACTTTGGCACCGCTCAGCCCTGCTGAGCAGCAGTGCCGTGTCCTCCAGCTGCTTCCCCAGCCAGTGCCAAGGGAGCCCAGCCCGGCCGAGCACCTGCGGCACTTTCACCCCTGAGCCGCGCACCCTTCGTGCGAGCAGCCCATGTCGCACCCACACTGCCGGCCCCGCTCTGGCCCGGTCACAGCTGCAAAGCCGCAGCTACCTTGTGCTAATTAAAAACATCCCTGGTTGGAAGGAGTCAAAGGGCCACTTCCTCCCGGCCGCACCGGGCTGGCGCGGGTCTGAGGGATGCCGTCCCCGCCCTGCCCAATGCACAGCCCACCGCCGCCTTCACCCGCGGCCAGACCGTGGTAGCTCCACTCCCTGGAGCTTATTTTTAGTGCCTGTTAAAAGGAGAGGCAACAGCGTGCAGGCAGGTGCCCGGCTGCACCCCAGGGTGTGATGCCCAGCGCCTCCATTGGGTGCCCCGGCCACGCTCCACCTGCCCCGCTGGCCCGTGTCCCCTCACAGAATGGGGACGGGCGCCTGGCCCCCATCCCAGTGCTGGTGGGGAACAATAAGAGGGACGCTGACCCCCGGGCACCCTGACGTCAGCCGGCACCGCCACCAGCACCGCCGCCGGCCCTGGCCCCCGGGCTGCCACTCGCCCTCGGCTGGGGCCGCGCTGGAAGCCGCCTGTTTGTTTATCTTCCTCTCCGGCGTTGCTTGTTTTGATGGCACATCCTTCTCCTCCTCCTCGCCGGGCCGCGGGGTCGAGCCATGAACCCACCACGTCCTGTTTGCTGAGGTCCCTTCTCCCCTTGCGGAGGTGCAGAGCAGCCACCCGTGTGTGCGACGGCCGCGGCAGATAAAAATATGCAGGGCAAAGCATCCTGGCTATATCTGTACTGATGGTGAGTTTGTCCCAGGTCTACCTGTCCCTGCCCTCCCTGGGGACAGGAGCGTGGTGCTGCATGGACCCCCTGACCCTTGCTGAGCCAGACCAGGCAGAATCATGGAATCACCTAAGCTGGAAAAGACCTTTAAGATTATCAAGTCCAACCTGTACCCCAGGACTGCCATGTCCACCACTAAACCATGTCACTGAGGGCCTCAAAGCTGTGTCACAAAATGCCAACCATGGCTAGGCTGGGGCAAGCTCTCAAAGCCCATGGGTGGGCACCTCATGCTGCCCGTGGGGTCATCTCCATAACCCAAAGGGACACCTGGGGACAAAATACCCCCAACCTGCTGGGTCCTAGGCTGCTGGGAAGGGTGCTGGGGCAGCCCCGAGGCACTGAGCCCTCTCCAGCTGCCTGCTTTTCCCCGTTACGGTGTGAACCCCTAGCCTTGCCAATAAAAGCTGCCAGCTTTGCCTCGGCTCGTGCGCAGCCACTGCTCTCCCTCCAGCTCTGCCCAAGCCCAGGCAGCTTCTCAGCAGTGAACCCTTGCCAAAAACTGCGTGTGTGAAAGCGTCGTTTCCTAAACATATAAATATTCCCAGGGCTTAGCTGGAAAACTCCCCATGATTAGTTAAAATGCCCTGGACAGCCAAGTGCACACAAGCCCAGGGAAAGGGCACATTTAAGGCTGTGCAGCTGTGCCCTCAGGGACTGGCAGGTCCTTTCCTCTCCATGAGGGAAGCAGCAGAGGTTTGGGAAGCGAGCAAAGCTGTGGAGCACTTTCCCGCTTCCTGCCAGCCCTGTGCCACACCAATCACAACACCATTCCAGCCAGGAGGTGTTTACCACTACCAAACATCCACAACCTGAGGCCCTGTTTTGCAAAGGGAGAGGCTGGAAGGACCATCAGACCTCTCCTCCTGACCTCCTGCCCACTGACGTTCAGCCATGCACATCCCAAGACCGATCCCAGCAACTTGGTTTTCTTCCAGGCAGGCTCCCAGCCCACTTTTGGAGACATCAAGAGATGGAGAATCAACCGCTGCCCTTGGGAGCATGCCTCAATCGTTAATCGCCCATGGGAGCAAACCCAAGTGCCTCCGTCCTAGCTTGAAATTGCCTGGCTCTGGCTCCCGGTGCCTGGCTTGTGCTCCCTGCTCTCCGCGAGATTAAAGACAGCCCTTCTCTAAGCAGCATTTTCTCCTTGTAAAGACCCTCACACACTGTAATCAAGGCGCCTCTCAATTTTCTCCCTGATAAGTAGACAGAGCTCTTCCGTTCCAAGTCTCTCAATGCTGGGCTCTCTCCCCAGCCCTCAGTTCATTCCTGCGACTCTGTGCTGATTGTCCGGCGTCTTTTGGAAAACCCAGATGCAGGAGTTGGTTGCTGCACTCCCAGCTCCCCATGGCATGTCCCGAGGGACCCCAGCGCCTCATGCTGCTCTTTTTGGAGCTGGCAAACGGAGTACTGAATTGCCCAGGGGTTTTGAAATACCTGCCAAGAGACAACGAGATCATCCAGCCCACCCTTCTGCTGCAGAACGAGCAGGGAGTGAATAAGGGTGAACAGACAGTTTTGGTGGAGAAGAGCTGCAAAGCTGTGTTTGGTGTTCCTCACTAACACAAGACCTAGGAGGCATCAGGAGGAACAACAGGGTACCACATTCAAACCAAAGGCAGCAGCTGCTCACATCTCACGGCTCATTGCCACAGGATTGTACATGGGACAAAAGCATCATCAGTGGGTTCATAAAGCAACAGGATGAATGCAGAGAAGACAGATTCCCCAGGCAGACTGAACACACAACTGCATCCCTCCACCACTGCTCCCCTGGTGCCGGTGCTCAGATCTGGCTCCCAGGGGATGCAGAGGGAGAGAATCTCCCAGTCCCTCCCATTCCCCGTACAGTGCTCCAGCCCCAAGATGCTGCTGCTGGACTGTTCTTGGGACACACAGCACCAACTGCCCTCCCATCTTTTAAGTCTGACAGATGAGCTCCCCACTAACTGCCTGTGCAAGGCTCTGTGCAGGGCTGCATCACTCCCCTCCTGCCCACCCTGCACCACCAAGCACCTTCTCCTGTGCCCCACACCCCTACCAGCTCTTGAAGGACTCTGGAGTTTCAAGCCTGATGTTCATCTTTAGCAGATATTGTTGAGCTGACCCTTGGACAAAGACACACTTCATCATCCCCCGATCCTGGCACATCCATCCGCATCCTTCCGGCAACAGCAGCGAAACGCTTACCAACTACTTCTGCCATGTCTGTTCCAGTATCAATCATTTTACCACCTTCATCTACCATTAAGCTTATCCCGTTGCTGGAAGCTTGGGGTTTCCTCCTGCTACACTAAATAAAAGTCTTTCCTTCTCTCCTTCTCCATGATTTTTCCCTGATGTCTTTAGCTTCTGTTATCCATTTTCTACACTTCATAATTTCTAATTTATACTGATTGCTATCTACTCCCGCTCCCCCATTTGTTATAAACTGCTCTTTTATTTCTAATTGCTGCCTTCAGTTTGCCACTGAACCAGAACGGGCTCTCGGCCAGCGCTGCCCTCTTTCTTGATTGTGGAATTGTGGCTTTTTGTGGCTTCTGAAATTCTTCTGAAAGAGCTCACCATTTTCATTCACATTTTTCTATCTAAATGTTTCCTCTGAGCTGATTTCGCTCATAATTTTCCCCCTGCTTTGGGAAATTAGCCCTTTCAAAGCATGAAGGATATAAATTACTGTTTAGGAATGTCCTTTCTTTGACCAGGGTGAATGCAATCTGCTCATGATCATTGCTCCCTAGGCAACCTCTAAGTTGCAGTCCAGCAGTGAATTCATCTCTATCCACCATAACCAGGGGGAAATGAAAGTTCCCTGTGCTGGAGGCAATGCAAAAAGAGGGATCATCCCTAGTATTTAGAAACTTTGCAGGTGGTTTGTTGCTGGCTGTGCAGGACCACCAGTGTGTGTCTCATGAAGCAATATCCTATGGACACCATGGACACCCTGGCTGACTCCCTGGTGCCCAGCAGACACCACTGCTCCTCACTCCTGTGCCTCTGCAATGAGCACAGGAACACTTAGAAGCATCCTGAGTTATTTTACATCAATGGGTATCAATCCTTTCTGATCTTACCACATTGGTTTGAATCATTTTAGTGCTTCTGTGATTATTTCCAATAATGAAAAAAGATCAGAGGAAAGACTCTCTCCTTCCAACCCCAGTTTCTCCAAAGCACATGACTGATTTTAGAGCCGTGCATGCCAAGGGGAGGGTGAAAAGGATGAGCATCCCACAGCACAGAAAACAGGCTGAAAGGCACTTGTCCCCACAATGCAGCACTGGAAAGCCAACCTAAAAGCAGCAGATGAACCAAAAGGAGCAGATGGCTTCTCCTCGTTTACCTGCTCCTTGCCTGATATCAGCATCAGTGTTTCAGATCCACAGCAAGTGTGGGAAGCAGGTGAGGATGCCACAGTAATGACACACTCCCATGGAGCAGCCAACCCAGTTTGCACCCCTAGCAACAACCAGCAGGCAGGTAAGTGGCAAGAGGATGACAAAACATGATGCCACCTCCCCATCCAGCTGTACCAGGCATGCCCCCAGCTCTGCTCACTCTCCAAAGGAGGTGCAAGGACACAAAGGAGGGCCATGGGAGAGCCAATGGCCACTACATCTCTCCAGGCAAGTTCAGCAGTGTCCATCCAGCCCAACACACTTCACAATGGGGCTGCTGGTGCTCCCCACCACTCGTTTGTCAAAGAAGGGAGCACTTGCACAGCTCCTTACCTTAACCATGAAGCACTGCTGAAATGTCTCCTCCTGGAAGGGCTCCGTCCGCAGGCGATCTGCAAGGGAAAGCAGGGATGAGCTTGGACAGATCTGGCCAGACCTCTGACCCTGGCTCCCCCTTTCCCCGCCTGTGAGGCAAGCGGACTGCAGGGAACAGCTTCAGCACACTCATCCCTGAGCCAGCAGAAGAGCCTGTTCTCTGAACCTTGTTCAGAACACTGATTTTCCCCCATCATTGCTAAGATGTTGTCTGGAGAAGCACCTGGCCAGCTCTGCTTAGCAGCATTGGTCCAAAGCTTCCTCCCAGCATCCCACCCTGCCCAGACAAGAAACAAGAGAGGCCATCTGCCTACCAGCATCAGTCCCTGGGCCCAAACCAGGTTGTTCTGGCTGCCCCAAGCCAAGCAGGGCCAGCACGTGTCAGAAGACAGGGGAGAGCAGCCAGCTGATGCAACTCTAGTGCAGCTGCAGGGAAGACCCAGGCTCCTGTGGTGGGGTGCCTGCCGTTGGACAGGGTCTGGACCACATCACCTTCCTGGCCATGATAAGCAAGTCAGGGCTGATCCCCGTGAATTCCCCATCAGTCCCCACATCTGCAAGGGGCAAAATTCCTATGGAAGGGCAGGCATCACCTCTGGCAGCAGACAGAGCGCAGCACTAACAAGGAATGAGCCAAAAACCAGGTCCCAGTCAGCCTGCATGGGCAGAGGATAACCTCCCCAGGGTGGCTCCCCAAAGAAGGTCCTGACCCATGTCCTACCCCAGAAGGCTTCTTCCCGCCTGTCCCAGCTGGTGGCAAGGTGAGCTGGGCGCTGGAGGGGGCCCACACACATGGCTGTGGTTGCCATGGCGGGGAGAGCCGGGAGCCCCTGGTTGCTCTCCAAGCACTCAGGAGCTACCGTGCTTGGGAAGGGAGCCTGACACCGCTGCAGGGCCGGCCCCCACTGGCATCCCCGCCGACTCCTGGGGAACAGCCAGGTGAAGTGGAGAGCCCCTTGGCGACTCCCCAGCTCCTCCAGCTCCCGGTCAAGGGCCATTCCTCCTCCAGCTCTCCCCAGGGGCTGCTCCCCAACCTCCTGGCTACCATCTTGCTGCCAGCACAGCTGAACATGAAACAAGCCTGGCTGGGTAACAGCCAGAGACAGCAGAGCATGCCAGCCCCGTGCTAAGGAGGAAACTCACTCCCTGCTTGCTCTTCTCTTGGCCCTAGGCATCCCTTCTCACCTCTGCTGAGAGTGGCCCCACTCTCCCTGTAGTCTTCAATCTCAGCATCCTTCTGAAGCAGTAGGGAGGCCAGCTTTTGCACCTGGGACTGCAGCGCCAGGCTCATCTGAATCAAGGGCCTGACGAGGTGGCGGGACACCTAGGATGGAGGAAGGACACTTTAGGAAAGCTCCACAAGAGCAGGGAAGGCAGGAAGGCCATAGCAAGAGCTGCACCCCAGCTCACACAGAGCTCCCCAAGATACCCCATGTCTCAACCAAATCCAGTGGGAAGCGGTAAAAAAACATGAACTGGGAGAAGAGAGGCCAGATACTACAGGACACATCCCTCCATCCCAGCCCCATCCTTTCACAGCTGAGATCTGCAGCAGGTGAAAAACTGGGTGGGATACCCTGAGTGGGACAGTGTGCAAGATAGGCAATGCTCCACCTGCCATTTGGGGTGCAGGAGGAAGTACAGACCCTGTCATGTGCCCCAGGGATGAGCTGCAGAGGTGACAACCATCATGCACCCAAGCACTCAGAGGAGACCACTGGCAGCAGAGCTGGGACAGGGCAAGCAGCATTTTGTCAGGAGGGCTTTGTGCCAGCCTGGAGCCCCTGGCCAGCTGCTGAGCCGATCTTAGCAAGGGAGAGTTGTTCTTCATTCCCACATCCACAACAACCACGCTCAGCATCCAACAGATACCCATTTCTTGGGTGCCTTGCAGACATCCTTCACATTTCCAAGCAAAAGGTGAGGAGCAGCTACCCACTGAGTGCTCGGGCTTTGCACCTTTTCAGCTCAGCCTCCATGCTCCTTGCCCAGGGAGGGACGGCAAGTCAAGCCAAGCCAGGACCCTGGGTTTATTTGCTCCCCAGTTCAATCTTGAAAGTGAGGACAGACACCCCCAGGGCGGGTGGGGAGCCCAGCTCTCCTCCCCGTGATGCCCAAACACAGCATTCCGGGGGAGAAAAGACGGGACCCGCACCAGGACCCGCTGGGAGCGGGTGTTAGGGATGGAGGGCGCTGCTTCCCGCCGGCAGCGGAGCCACAGGGCCGGCCGCGGGGCCGGCGCTGCCACTGGAGGCCTCCGCTGAGCGGTTAGCGGGTACCGGGCGCCCTCTTGTGCGCGCAGGGCCGCAGGGTCGGGGACCAGGAGGGACCCGGGCCGGGGGGGCGGCCAGGGCAGCCCCTGCCCGCCTGCCAGGGGGTCCGTCGCGGGCCGCAAACGCAGCGTGGGATCGGGCTGCAGGGGGCTGCCCCCGAAACTCGGTGTTGGGCTATCCCGTGGTAAGAGCAGCCTCTTAAAAGCCGGGAAGACGCCACTTTCATTCCTGCAGTTGTGATGGAGCCCCTGCGGGTCCTTTGGGGGTACCCACTGCTCTGTGCCCCACTTCATGGCATGCACCAAAGGAGAACAGCATCATTCTGCTGTGTGGGGTGCTGGCAGGGTCTCATCCCAAACTGGACAACTCCCTGCTGCCAGGGTACCAGCACATGCTGGGCCACCCCTGCCTCACTGCAAGGCACCAACCAAGATGCCAAAGGCTCAGTCTGAAGAAATGGAGCAGTGAACCATGGAAAGGACATGAAATTGTATAAGAAGGACATGGAGCTGTTGGAGCAAGTCCAGAGGAGGGCCACGAGGATGATAAGAAGGCTTGAGCACCTCCCAGAGGAAGACAGGCTGAGAAAGTTGGGGCTGTTCTGCCTGGAGAAGAGAAGGGGGCCTACAAGGATGCTGGAGAGCGACTCTCCATTAGGGACTGTAGTGATAGGACAAGGGGCAATGGGTTGAAACTTAAACAGAATAGATTTAGGTTAGATATAAAGAAGCAATTCTTTACTGTAAGAGTGGTGGGGCACTGGAAGGAAGGGCACTGAAGGAAGTGGTAAATACTCCACCCCTGGCAGTGTCCAAGGCCAGGCTGGACAGAGCCTTGGGCAATGTGGTCTAGTGTGAGGTGTCCCTACCTAGGGCAGGGGGGTGGAACTGGATGACCTTAAGGCCCTTTCCAACCCAAACTGTTCTGTGATTCTGTGTGAGGGGCAGCAGGTAGAGCCAGGCACCCTACAGCCACCAGCACAGCCTGAGACCACCCAAAAGCTTCCAAGCATTAGGAGACAACCCTTGATTTTGGCCATTCCCCTCCCCAAACTCTCCGCAGCTTCGCTCACCATCTCCACAGGAGCAGGGCAGCAGTGGAAGTCCCAGTAGAAGGGCAGTCCGGAGAGCTCACTCTTCACGTGCAGGCTGAGCCCGCTGGCAGTGCGGCGGCAGGAGAAGGAGGTGGTGGCATCCGGCTGCCCTGCCAGCAAGGGGTCCATCAGTTTGCACAAGTGGTGTAGGAAGGAGGACACCTGGACTGTCAGCCGCTTGTTCAGCTCCTGGGGAAAGGCAAGTTTAGGGGTACAGCGATGCCCTGGGAGCTCAGCACTGGGAAACAAGCAGCAGAAACTCCAGCACAGAATGAGCCAAACTACTTCTGCATGTCCCAGTGTTGCAAAAGTCATCCCTGGGCCTCAGCTTCCAGCCCTGTGACAGAATACTCCCCAGACAAAGTGTGAAGGCTCCCCTGCCCTGCCAGCCCAGGAGGGCCCAGGTGGTGGGCAGGGTGCAACAGTCTCCACTAATGCATCTGCCCTGCATGCCACCACAAGTGTCCCAGGCTGGCTGAGAGTTGTCACAGCTCAGCTAATCTGCCAGTGCTGGGAGATGGCTGCCCCTGCATGCCCACCCCTCCTGCCAGCAGCTGCTCAGCACAGAGCTTTGTGGGCAAAGAGACATGGCAGACAGGGGTGACCTAGGCACAGGGGGACATGGGTTGGGGTGAGGGATGAGGCATGGCCCCAGGTGTTTTGGGGGCTGTGCTAAGAGGACATCCCATGGGAGTCTGTGCCTCCTCTGAATGTGATCAGGAGTCTCCCCATCCCTGGTGGAAAGGCAGCCTTTTTCCAAGCTCTTCCTTTAGCACTGATCCTGGGGAAACCAGCTGTTCATTCACCCCACAAATGAAACAAGTATGCCAGCCTCAGCATGCAGCCCCAGCGAACATCTAGTTGCCCTGGGCATCTTAAAGAGCCTGGCCCACTCTCCCAAGAGGAGGGTGCTCGGCCATCCAGGGTAGCAGTGCTTGGGCAGAGCTGCCCAGGGACTTCCTCGGCCAGGTGTTTGCACCTGAGCCCTGTCAGATCCAATTGTCTTTGTGTTACCAAGCAGTCTGTGCTAGGATGTCAGCTGCTACAAGGAGAAAAGGAAGTCCCTGGACTTTCCAGACACTCACCTTGGACCTTTGTCCCACAGCCTCGGCATCTGCACTCTCGTACCAGACGCTGCTGAGGTCAGAGATGAGCAGGATGTAGCCAGTATCCCTGAAGCATACTTTGGCAATAAAAGGGCACTCACTAAGGCAAACAGAAGCCCAGGGCTGTGTCAGGAGGCTGCTCTCCAGCTTCTTGGAACCCTCCATCTGCAAAAGAACAATCATGTCTCTGCCTCACCCAAACCCAGGAAGACCCCAGGCCTTGGGGTGGCTTCACACAAACCCTTGGTCCCCGCCCACCCATTCATGATGCCAGCTCCACTTTGCAGCCCAGAGGTGAGGGTGCTCAGCCAGCTCCAGTCACACACATCCCTGCACATGCATGCAGCTTTGCTGAGAGGCATTATGGGGAGCTCTGTGCAGGGCAGTTTCTACCCCAGCTCACAATAAGCATCCCAAACGCACCAGCAGATGCACAGCAATGTACTTGCTGGCTCCCCGGCATTTTCCAGTGCTTGCTACCATTAATAGGGCAAGATCTCTATATCCAAATTAACATTTAAGCTGCCCTGCTTGCACTGAGATGGGCAGGGGGATGCTGCAGTCCCCCTCTCGTTTGGACATCCCACCCCCGTGCTCCACGTGAGCCACGGACAGTACCCTGCCTGCACCACTACCGGCAGTGTGCCGGCAGCAGCGCACGCTGCCGCGAGCACTGCCCCTTCCCGCTCCTCCCTGTGACGGGCTCTGTGCCTGCCCGACCACTCGGGCACTCAACGATCCCAGCGTGCCCGCAGCACTGGTGAGCCGCGGAGTTACCCGGGGGCAAGAGGAGCGGGTGGGCCAGAGGCTACCTGGGTGACGGGCTTGCAGAGGCGAGCAGCTCCGGGCCGGAGGCGAGGGCGGGACTACAGCTCCCAGTATGCTGCTCTCTGCCGCGGGGCGCGCTGGGATGTGCACGCTGTGGGTCCCCGGCATGGAATGGCCATCGCTTCCTCAGAGCCCAGGGAGCAAGTGCTCCTGCTCCCCCGGCTGCTGACAGGAACGGGCACCTGAGCTGGCACGGCTTGGGCTCGGTTATCACAGCAGGTGCCATGGCCAAGACGCTGCGCAAAGCGCTGGGGTCTGAAACGCCTCACGACTTTGTTTTGTTCTTGCTGCTGTTACGAAGCATCCTGGTACAAGTGCCCAGCCCCCGAGCTCTCCATTTGCACCCTATTAACGCCCTGCCCTCAAACCTCTCCCTGCCTTGCAGGCTGCGGCCGCCCTCGGGGCGGGACCGAGGGAGGGTCGTCCCGGAACATTTGCATCCCTAAGGTTGTCAGGGTGTGTGGGAGCAGACAGGGGTTTTGGGGTGCAGAACCCAAGCAGGGTGCAGGATGGATGGGGTTGCCTGGCCAGGTCAGGGAGGGTTTGGGGTACAGGATCCAGGCAGAGTGCTGGACCGAGTCATGCTTTAGGCACGGAGTGCAGGGCCGGATGGGTGCAGGGCCCAGGTAGGACCCCCCCATGGATAAGCTCCACCATCCCCCGAGCCCAAGTTTATCCTTCCTCTGAGCTTGCACCTAGGGCCAGCTTGCATCACCCGAAGGCTGCAAAACCATGGCCGTTCCTGCCCCACTGCTGTGCGTTTGCAGGCTGGTCCAGACTGGTGGTGGCAGCGCAGGGAGTACCCGTGGACTCTGATCTGCTGTAAAGGCTGCAGCAGTGAGCAGGGCTGGTGCAGGCTCTGCTGTAGTCGGTGTAACCAGCCAGCGGCGGGAAACAATCCAGGAACCGAACTTAATCATGGAGGTCAAAGGCAACATTTCAATGTTGTTGTTTTTTCTCTAGAGAAATCCAGTGCTGGCAGTTAGATGGTGAGTGCTGCTGGGACCAACCCGCTGCAGGTGAAGAGTTTACTGCTTTGGAGAGCTGACCTGAGCTGCATCCCCAGCCTGGGGCATGCTGGCATACCAGGACGTTAGTATAGACATAGTGCCATGGGCATCAAGGGGCCGTGGGCACAGCTGAGACACAGCAGGGAGGAGATGGAGAACCAGCCCTTCCTGAGCATGGTGCCAGAGGTGAGCAGAGCCCCTTGAGGATGGTCAAAGCACTGAGCCCTTGAGCCCTTTCCCAGCCATGTCCACAGGCTGATGGCACCCACATCCCCAGCTGCAGTGGCACCAGATGGCTGTGGCCTCTGTGGTTGCAGTCCTCAGGCTACCAGGGGAGGGAGGGCTGGTATCTCACAGGCAAATCCTGGCTAGAAAGGAAATCCCTCAAGACAGCAAAGTTGGTTGAAGGTTTTTATACCTCATTCCCAAGGAAGGAAATGGGGTTTGTGCTGGGAGTGTGGAAGCACATGTCCCTTCAGTCCATGTGGGCTTCAGAAATTAGGAGCAAAGTGGCTCACAAGCTGTCTTTGGGGCACAACGCTGGTCCACCATGAGGTATCCGCACTCCGCAGAGTCAGGCCACTGTGTCCATGCAGCCATAACCATCTCACTCGTCCTCCTGGGTGGCTGTGGCTCCCCTGAGCCAGGTTTGGGGAGCAGGTGCATCCCTTCCTCGGGGGCAGTGGCCCCCTCCTCAGTGGCACGGCCGCCCTCCTCCTCGTCCTCCTTCTCCTCCTCTTCCTCGCTCCTCGGGCAAAGGAAGCAGCAGGGGAAGGCTTTGCAGGAGGACGGCAGCAGCCTGCTCAGCCCAGGGGGGAGCCCATATGCCTGGCTGGCTTTGCCTCTCTCTCCATGGGCATGGCAGTCGCCTACCCCAGCTCTCCATGGCCCCAGCTCAAAGAGCAGCCCTCGCTCTTCCAAGGTTCCTGCAAGCACAGAAGTGAGCAATGTGATGGGAGCCCCTTCCTCCAGCTGTCCCAGCCTACAGCAGCTCTGGGATCCACAGCAGGGCTGCCTGCAGGCAGTCCCATGGCCAGATGGAGACCTCAGAGCAGGGCCTCACACAGAGTACCTAGAGCAGCGCCTCACCTGAGACTGTATTCTCCAGGAGAAATGACAAGGAGCCAGTTAAGACCACAGGTGCCATGAGCAGGGAAAGGAAGAGCAGGTCCAGGGGCACCCAGCCTGCAGAGATGGTGCCAGAATCACCCAGGACATCCCAGTCCAAGAGGGAAAGGACCAGGAGCTGCCATGGCAGATCCAGGAGTTGGAGAGGGGCTCTGCCTGCTGCTGTGAGCTGACCCAGCCTCCCAGGACACTGGAGAAGTGTGGTCACCCTGCCACAGGGCCTGAGGCTTTGCCTTCCTTGGGGAATGTCCCTGCTACCTGTGGCCAGGTGAGCCAGAGCCGTGCCAAACCACCGTGGCACCAGGAGCGCCATGAACATGGCAAAGCCAACGATGAAGATGTTCCTGCCCGAGTCAATGTCCGCATACTGGAAGTAGGAGATCCCCGTGCCCACGGCTACAGCATAGGTGATGCAGAGTACCCCTCCTGCGGGGGGCAGGAGTCAGGCAGTGCCAGGCAGGCTGCAGGCACCACAGTGCAGGGGAATGGCAGGGTACCCACCGTGAACAGCCAGCGGGATGCGGGTGAGGAGCCCCACCAGCCTCGGGGACATGCCCAGCACCACACACGCCAGCGCGCTCACTTGCACCGAGAGGCGAGAGCCAGTCTAGTAGAAAGGACAGGAAAGTGAGGACAGGGAGCATCGCTCCCCACTCTGTCATGGCCCACCCCACCCCCGCCCCATCCTGCCATACCGACCTGCCTTTCCCAGCGATGATCTAGTGACAGCCTGGGTGCTGCAGGTCACCCACCCCTCCTGCTCCATTGCCTCTCCATCCCTTGCCGACCCTCCTCCCAACCCCAGCCATACCTGGGTGAGGCCAGCAGCGCAGGCGTTGGCAATACTGGCGGCAGTGCCCCCCGGGGCACCCAGCAGCCCTGCCAGGAGGCTGCCCAGCCCCTCCGTGCAGAGCCCCCGGTTGCATGCGTCAGGGGGCAGCCGGGGGGCTCTCAGCAGCTGCCCGCACAGCACGTAGCAGCCCACCGAGTTCATGCTGCAGCCCATGGCCATGGCGATGCCCACTGCCAGAGCCCGGGGGGTGAGCAGCGGCCACCCCCATTCGCCTGCGGCAGGAGAAAGAACGGGTGATAGAGGCCCTGGCTGAAGGCTGATGGCTGCATGCAGCCTTGCTGGCCTCTACCTGCGTAGGGGATGCGGACCCAAGGGACATGGAAGGTAGTGTTGGCCCAGGACAGCTGGGCCATGGCCAGGTCCAGCGATTCCCAGTGGATGTGGAGATGGCTGAGGATAGCACAGAGGATGCAGACACCAGTAAATGGGAGTAGTACCTGCAAGGCAGCAAGGGGACACTCAGCAGAGCACCCTCCTCCCCTGCCTGCCCTGGCCAGCACCCCATCCATCATCTGCTCCCCAGAGAGCAGGTCCTTGTCCTGTCACCTCTCCCAAAGAGCCATGCTACATCTCCCCTTACGCCTGCAGGGAGCATCCCAGGCTCTGCTGCTCCTGTACCCTTGAGCAGAAGTCCTCTGTGCTCCCCCAACAGCAACCACACCCTGAGAGTTACACCAGGACTCCTCACCCCTGCCTCTGCTCTCAGCTCTGCTCCAGCTAACCCTTGCCTAACCCCACACTGAAGAACCAGGCTTAGAGAGAAAACTGGGTGAAGCAGAGGGAGCTGGGGCATATTAAGTTTTGGTACCGAGAATGTGCGCAGGGTGGGCACAGATGGCTCCATGGAGCCCCTCCAAGCCTGGGGCCAGGCACAGAAGGGCAAGCGGCAAGATCCCAGGTGCTGGGAGAAGGTGACAGTAAGAAGCATGAGCCTAGGAGAGGGAGAACAGGTCACCATGCAGCATCACGGTGATGGGGTCCCAAACATGTGCTGTGCACCATGAAGATGCCCCATTCCCATCTCCATGGTGAAGGGAAGCCCACGTACAGCAGAGCTACCACCCAGTTAGTGGAGCAGAAGAAAGCAGCCTCCTTATATGCAGACAGCCCGATGATGGAGAGGCTGGGAGCCAGCACCATGGGCCCACAGTGCTGGGCTGCCCACCCACACACACCAGACACTCCCAGCGCCAGCTGAACCAGCCCAGAGACCAGCACAGCTCCAGAGACCTGTGGGAGGAAATGATGGGGTCCATGTGGCAGGATGCATGGAGAGCAGACCAATGCTTTCCCTTGGACACACTTCCACTACCCCAGTAGTGTCACTTGTTCCCTGTGCTCTGCTCACCCCAGGCCCAAAGGAACACATGCACCCACATACACCATGAGCCCCATTGCCTTCGCACATCCCCTTGTGTCCCCACTGTTCATGACAATCCCCAGGAGGGCTGGGAAAGGGGCTGGGGGTGCAGGGAAGCAGGTAACACCTGGGGCACAGGTGGAGCAGGACAGGGACTCCCAGCCCAGTGCAGGAGCACCCACCTCTTGCAGTAGGGCAGCCCAGTTCCCTGCAACAGTGCAACGTGGTGCATGGCATTCACTGGCCACAGCTGTGCCTGTAAGGGAGTTTTGCATGATGTGATGCACGTGAACACTGGGCCTCTGGAGCCAGGTCCAAGAGCACACAGTGTGGGGGCTGAAGCATCCCCATCCCTATAAGCCCTGACCCTAGGGTGGCAACCAGATGCACTCAGGGGTAAGTAGGGTGCTGTGCACCATCACCAGAGGAGCCAGCAGGCAGGGCC